TCTAGTCATTCATTATAGTTTTTTCATTATGTAGCCATAATAAAATATCCCTAAAATGGCATTAATCTTCTAAATCATCAAATTGTTATTTAATAACATCAAGTTTATAGACTTCTCAAATCTGCTTATATGTAATTATACAATTATTTAATAATAGACTACATTAGAGAATTGAAAGGTATATGCAATCATTAAGTACTAGTAGAAGCTGTCCAAAATTACCAATAAGAATTATAGATTGGTTACCAAAAGACTAGTCTTTTTTTTTAAAAAAAGCTTGGTGTAACTGCATATCAATTAAAGTGAGCATTTTTCATCTGATCATGCTTTTTTCATTAATAACAATATATTTTATATATTGTAAGTTTTTTGTAATTGTTTTAGTAACTCTTTATTTATATCAAAGTTAGTGCTATTTATAGAAATAGAGAGTGCTGAGTAGACAGTAATTCTATAGATGTTAAATGCTGCAGTCTCTGTTGATGCAATCACAAGTATAGATAATTTAATATTAGCATTATGGTACTTTGTTATTTCTAAAATCCTATACCAAATTGTTGAAATTAGATATAATTTTTCAGTTCTAGTAGCTTCAATGTTAATAATTCTTAGAAGTTTAATGTTGTTAGAATCTGTAATTAATGCAATATAATGCTTTTCATTCTATTTAAATATTAACTTTTGCTTGTTATTTAAAGTTTAAAAATTAACTATATTGACAATTTTATTATTTTTTTTTTTTAAAGGCCATACTTGTGATAATATTTTATTAACTTTATATCAGATTAGCTATTACAACTATTTTTACAGAGATGAGAGTACAGCTAATTATGCATGCAACTTTTGGTTGCTTATTTAAGTAGTTCACTTTAAGGTTCTATATTAGATGCTGTACCTATAACCTACTAGGAGATTATTTATTTAACCCTCTGATCATCTGCCTTGTTATATTGGAATCTTCAACTTACCTCCCATATATATCTAATCAGTATACTATCTGAGCAGTATAGTTACTTACCTTTTTTGTACTAGTTTTTAAGCTGTTATATGTTTCAGAGTACATTACCTGCCAGTAAGGCACAGGAGGCCTCCTGTTGTTAACTATCTACCTATTTTTAGAACACTAACATGGGCTACTCTTACAGAGTTTATCCAGACCTCAGTACTGACTTCACAGCATATTTCTAGTACTTTTAATATACTCCTGTTTTGAATCCAGACTCTCAATTCAGATAACTCAAAAGAACTATGACCTGTTTTTAGTATATTGAGGCTGACCCAATATTCTTTTCCTTAAATCTGAAATCTAGTGGCCTGGTTGATGGTACTCCTTACCTAAGGTTCTTGTCTATCCGAATTCTTTACATTGGTATCTATTTTTTAGGTCTAGCCTTTACAGTAGTACTATCAAAGATCTGTATTATCTCTTTGCCAGAATTTCCAAGTAGACTCAGGATTTCCAGTTCTACAGATTTACATGGTCTAAGAACTTATTTTAGGTTTGCACTGCCTGGTACTGGTTTGCATTCCTTTGTGTAACAGATTACACAGATGCCCCAGACCTGCCAGTCATGCTGATGTGACCATAATTACAGGTATCTTATCTCAACTAATCAACAGAATGCTATCTTCATAATACTGTCTATATATTATATAGGTGATTATTCAAATTTTGCTATCAGTAAGTTTTGAACTCACAACCTACCACTTGGAGATATGACAACTTATCTACTTTACTAAGTTACCACATCTTTTATATTGATAATTAGATTTTTGACATCTATATTATTTTTATTGTGAACTTGCTATAGAAAATTAGATACATCTGCAATGTTGATATTTAGATAATGTTGTCTGAAATTACTAACTTAGTCATAGTTTTTATTTATTTTGCATGAGCCCAAATTTAAATAATTATCAATAAATGTATTTGGGCCTATTTCTGCTAATAACATTTGCTTAGACCTTATTTCTTCATATTTATCATCTTGTTGTTCATTGTCTTTAACACTAAACTTATTCTCTATACTATCTATAGAAGAACTAAGTAAATCAACAGGATCTCTTTTAATTTCTTCAAAATAATAATTGAAAAGGTTTGTTCAAGAAAATATATCATTCATAGCTAGCTGCTAAAGGTTTCTATAATATATATAAAGCAAAACTTTTAAATAACAGAATTCTTTCCAATAAGAACTATTTTTTTGAAATAATAGTTGAGGCTAGATGCATACTATATTTTTACATTTATATAGTTTCCAACTGTCATTTAAAAATTTGTATTTTAAATAGAGTTAATAAAGTGTTATATTTTTTAGCTTATTAGATTGATTCTAATACTTTTGCAGAAATGATTGCATTATACATTTAACTTTTTTAATTATTAAAAATTTGATGTCATTTTTAGCTTCATAAAGTAATTATGACACATCTTTGTTGAGATTTAAAGATACAAACTGGCAACTAGAATGGTAAAATGGTATACTAAAAAGAAAATGGCAGGTTTCTTGTGCAGAAATATTATGCTTTGCAACAGTATATAAAAGTAACTTCTAAAATAAGACAAAGATGAATTATTGGAATTGCTATTAGAGAAAATACAATTTAATATATTTGAAAAAGCTTTAGATTAAGGTTCAGATTTGCTTGAATATTTATAAATATACTAAAGAATGGCATGAGTGCTAAGAACTGGTTTTAAATCAACATTTATATACTATTTTTGAAGATGAAGTCGATCATAAGGATTGATATAAGAATCATTCCTTGCTGTTACAAGTTTTATTTTTTTTTTATATATATTAAGGTGAGTACTTGCGATCCAAAATTTTATTGATAGTATATTTGGCTAATAGTTGCATTACAACTACAGAAGGCAATCATAGAAAGAGTGTACAACTAGTCACTTATACAACTTTAGTTATTGTCTAATTTAAATAGTTTGCCTAAAGGTTTTATACTAGTTGCTATATCTGAAATCTGTCTGTAGATTCTCTATTTAACCACTTTAGTTTTCATATTTACCCACCTACCTTTGTCTACCAATGACCCTAGCTAATGCCAGTAAAAATATGACATAACCACTAAGTCTTTAAAGCAGTTCATTTACATAAGAAACCTTTGATCTTGTACTAAACCTTCTAGAATCTTCTGTATTTTATTCTTACAGATGACCTAATATTGCTATGACCAAGACCAACACTGGTAGTTAGTGCATATTATTAAACCATTATGCCCTTGTAGAGTTTACTCCAACTCTGATACTGACTTCATAACATATCTCTACTACTTTGATATTCAATTTAAGTTCTACCAAGCTTTCAAATCAGATAGCCTGGAAAGGCAGATCATAATCATACACTTCTGGTTTACATGTTTACTAGCATGTAACCTTTTTCTCTAGAATGAGTTCTGGTGACCTGGTTAGTTTCATTCAGCCCCTTCTCAAAGGCCAGCTTTGTGCCTAGTTTTATAAGTTCTAGCTTCATTTTATAGGTCTAGTCTTTATAGTAGCACTGTTGAAGGTTCAGATTACCTTTCTACTTAGATCTTTCAAGTGGGCTTTCATCTTCCTATCTGGTTTCTATAATTTACACAACCTAAAGACTTATCTTGGGTACATATTACCTGGTACCGGTTTGCTGTTACAAGTTCTGAATGGCTATAATCATCATTTCATATAAAGGTGTATTCTACAATCTCTTTTGAATAGTCAAATTTGCAAGATTGGTCACCTGCACAATTATTTTGAAGACAATATAAAGCATTACATTTGATATAATATTGCAATTTATTAATTAACTTAACATTATTCTGCAGGTTATTGTTCAATTCATTGTCACATTTTCATCAAAGATGCTAATCAGGTATAGGTCCATCTATTCCTGAATTTATTATAATAACTAAAGAATCTAAATACTGTATTACTTTAACCATCATTTTATTGTCTTCTTTCATTTTTTCCTAATTAATTATTGATGCATTTTTACATATTCTGATGCTATATATATGAGCACTGCTATGATGTTGCCACGCAAAGTGATATCACCAGTTCTCCAAATTCCATTTAGGAATTAATACATCTTGCAAGAAATGTTTGAAGTAATTTCAAACAACCATACAGCAATGTAAAAATTATTAATTAAGTCTTGATGTTAATGCTTAGATAAATTTTATTCTGGCACTTTTAGTTGATTCTTACTATGTAGTATAAGTTTGTAAAATTTTGGCCAATATAAATCAGCTGCACTAAATAAAAAAATATTATATCTTGTAATCCTAATTGTTTAATTATGTCTAACAATTCAACTTATTGTTTAATTCAAAATTGTCAAGTTTTATGCAAACTTTCTTTATATTATATAACTTGATTGGCCAGATGATTATTTCTTTAACTATTTCTTGTACCTCTTCAACAGTAAGCTGTTTATTGCTTAAACTTTGCTTTATATAAATTCTTTCTTCTTGTAGTGCCCTTCATCACATTTGTAAATTTAATGCAAAGTATCACTAATGAGTATGTTACACAAACCTTCCATCTTTATATTTAAGCATATGTTAGAAATATTTAGCAGGTTTACATCTTTTATATGCTCTGTATAAAGATCAACATTACCAGTTAGATATAGTGTTAAAAAGACACATGCAATATATCCAGAAGTATAAAATTTATTAACAATATTACTATTAATATTTGGTCATAAAATTGGTATAGCTTTGTTTTGCATGTGAGCAAGTGTATTACTAATAACTTTATTTTTACTTTGTGATAAAAGAATAATAAAAACAGAATTGCATATAAGTATAACTTCATTTTCAGTTTTATCATTACTTAAATTTTCATTTTCATTTTCATTATCATTCATGTGCTGGTTTTCTGTGCTTTAAATCTATTGAAGACAGGTATTGATAGGACTATTTTCAGATTATAATTGCAGTACTTTATTGTCAATAATAATGTTGATGTAATACCAATTGTTTGTTTTTAGCTATATAAGTGCCTATGCAAGTTTTATATAATGAACTTGAAAATCTCTATGTGCTAAACCACTTGTTGTATATCTTTGTACAACAAGTACATTTGATAATAATAGATGATAAGAAAGACATGTTATAAATTCTTATACATCTTGAGAAAAGTTAATAACATTTTTTCTATATGCATACTGCCCTTCATAAAGACAATATACTGAGATTACAAGAAAGATTTGTGCAATTAGCATCTCTTCTATCTTAGTAAGACCTTGAAGTTCTTTGAGCACATCTTCTAGATCCATGTTATTTTTTGCAGCAAACTTTTTTGGAAAAGTCTTATCATTATAGCATTAACAGCACTTTTCTGTAATTAATTTAATAGATAAGAACTGCTCATTGCACATTAGACAAAGTTTATTCTCAAATTTATTTACATCATTTCAAATTTTTGCAAAAGTTCTTAATTATATTTGGAAAGTAATAATGAAGGCATTCTATTATAATTGGTTTGAATTAAACTTTTTAGATATAGACAATGCAATAATTATAATATAAACATTTCTTGATTTTTATTAGGATGCTCATTCACAGTTTTTAAAAGATACTTTTTATACAATGCTTTTTGTTAGTACTTTCATTCATTTTTTCTGTCCAAATATGTTTTTTATTTTTTTGCAGTTTTATTAGCTATTTTTTTACTTTTATTTTTATGATTGTGTGCATGTCATTTCTTGTGCTGTTTAGATGTTTCATTTTTCTTACTTTTGTGTTTTTTAAGTGCTTTATGTTTAAAATAATCTGCTATTCTTTTCTTTAGAAAATTTTGTGCTAAAATTTAATTATAGGAAATTTTGTAGTTTTTTTTAATTAATTCTCTGAAATACTTTTTACAAGATTATAACTTAACATCTTTTTTGTTAGTTAATTATTTATATGATAATATAGTAGACATATTAGAGCCTTTTAAACTGATATTAGTATTGAGAAATTATCAAGTTTGAAGATATTATAAACTATTAGATTTATTTATTATAAACAGACTTGGTAAATTAATTTCTTATCAAATTTGACAAGTTGTTAATTTTGACAAAATCAGTTTTGGAAAATTTAACAGTACTATCTTTTATTATAGAGCAGGTAGTTGTATTAAAAATATATTCTTATTCTTATTAACAGGTAACTTATTACTTCACTAATTACTTTTAAATTTTTGTAATATTAAACAAAGTACTTATTAGATTTCATTTTGTTTAATTATTAGCATTATACAAACATGAATATAAAATGTTTGGCATAGATAAGTTAGTTAAATTAAATTAAATTAAGTTTTATTATTATTAAAAGTTATATTATTTTACATTATATTTAAATATATAGTATAAAGAAAAAATTAGAGTTGAAATTTTTTTTGAATTTTCTATATTAAAGCAATTATATAATTTTAGTTATTTGCAATTTTTTTATTGATATGTTCAAATTAATCAATTTTAAAATTGATAATTTAATTACAAACAAATAATGAACTTGTAGCTATATTAAGAATATAAGTTTTATTGAAAATATCATTTCTTTTACTATAAAGTGCTGAGTATTTACAAATGCTTGAGAAGATCTGCTGCATATTTATTATTTGGTTTTGCATTTATTAATGTTTTACACCAACTAGGTATTATTTGAAATATAAAAATTTTACTTCTCAAAATATAATAAGTAGTCTAATATAAATTTAATGTTATGAATAATTGTAAAATCAGATAATGTATGATTTTTAAAATTTATAAACTTTTTTGTTAGCTTTTTTTAATAATTAAGTTAGAATTTAAGATCTGAATTATTAATAAAAGAATATAGGTAGATTTTGATAGTACTTATATTTTCAAATTGAAACCTCGATTAGAAATGTCAACAGTTATATTATTATAGACAAATTGCCAAATTTTGATATTTATAAATTGACTAAGTTAAGTTAATTACTTATTCTATATTAAATATATATTTTTGTAATGTCTTTAATATTTATATTCTTTTTTCTGAAGTTTTCGGATATTTTCTATATTTATATTATGTGCAAAAGTTTGTCTAATTCACTAATAAATTTAGTTTAAAGTATTTTTTAAAAAAATAAAAACTAACTATAATAAAGTAAAAAAAAACTATATAAAAGATTTTATTAAAGCTGTAAGACAATTTAATTCTTATTTATTTAAAAAAATTAGCTTAGTAATAAGTTGATTTTATTGAGTTTTAAGAAGTTATTGCTATAATAACTTTTTTAAATAGATAAGAATTAGATCTTATTTTTGACTATAAAGTCTTATAGCTCTAAAGAAACTTTCTATATAGCTTCTTTTATTTTATTATAATTAGTTTTCATTTTTTAAAAAGTACTCTAAACTGTATAAATAATGTAAAATTAAATTAAATTTATTAGCTAATCAAACAAAATTCTGTTTATAAATATTTATAATCCTAAATTAATCTTTTGAAAATTACTAACTTAGTTGACTAAGTCAACTTTATTGACTAATATCAAATCAACTACAAACACTATTTTGTGAGCAATCTGCATTATATAAAATTAAATAGCACATTATTATTGCATAATTGTGAAGTATATGCCAATCAACTAATTAAATTATATTATGAATAAAAAAAAATAAGTTTATAAATATATTTTTTAAATAGCTATTACACTATTTGAGAATCTATTATCTATTATGCCCAAAGCTCATTATAAGACTCATTAATCTCTATATATATATACATATATAAAGTTTTAACTATTCTTATTACTAACTCTATTCTTATTACTAACTCTATTTTTATATATTGACATTTTTTATACTTTAAACCTCTAATGTAACTTAAAAATCACACAAAAAAAAATCTTTGTACTGTTAGTTTTTTTTTAAATAATAGTTATATTTAATGATTTAATAATTATATATAGTTCTATAGTAAAAAATTTTACTTTCTAGATCAGGTGTCAGATTATTTTGTATAGTGACAGTTGGTATTTATTTAAAAATAGTAATTTTATAAGTTTAATTTTATTTTTTAAAAAAGTACTTTAAACTTTATAAATAAAAATTTAATTTTAATTAGAAACTAAAAAGTTTTTTTATAAATGTATATATATAAAACTTTAAAAATTTTTAAGAAATCTTTTTTATAAAAATTAATTGTTAATATTTAAAAATAAATATTTTTAATAATATTAAAATTATATAAAAAAAAAATTCAAATAACTAATTAAAAATTTTTAATATACAAATATGTTATTATACAATTAAAAAAATAATATATTAAGCTTTGGACTTACAACAGTTTTTGTTAACTTAGTAGGTTAGAGCTGGCTTAGCTTTTAACTTTATAACTAAAGTTTAAGCCAAAATTTTAGTAGTTATAATTTAGCTATAGCTATTAATTTAGCTTTAGTTAGTTAGACAAATAATTAATTAGCTATAACTTGAGCTATAGCTTAAGTCAGTTAAGCTATGGCTTAAACTATATATAGTTTAAACTATAGTTTAAACTATAGTTTAAGCCAGTTAAGCTATAGCTTAAATTATATTTATTATATTTATATTGATATAAGTGTTACTAAAAAAAAAACTAGTAATTCTAAAAATAGATTTATTATAAATTTTATAAAAAATCAAGTTTTAGAATTGCAGTGTTTTTTTTAGTGATTAAGAATATTAATGACTTAAATATATAGCTCAGTTTAGTTTAAAAAAGTTATAATTAAGTTATAACTAAGTTACAATTAAAACTAAAACTAATAGTTATTTTTTTATAAGTTTAAGTAATTTTTAATTTTGGTTTAAGCTATAACTTTATACTATTGGTTTGGTTTAATTTAGATTAGCTTCAACTTGTAGCTAAAGCTAGTTTTAAGTAAAGCCAATAACATCTTTATTATAGATATTATTTTAAAATAACAAATCAAATTTTAATTATAAAGAATTTACTTATATATAGTAATTGATATAATAAACAAAATTTTAACAATAAAATATATATATTTTTTCTTAAATAATTTTTATTTTTTGGTTTGTTAAAGTTTCTGTTTTTAAAAAATAATTTTTATTCAAGTATTATCAAGAATAAAAGCTTTTATAAATTTTTTTATATTGCAGATTACAACTAATTGTATATGTATTTTGATATTTAATTTAAGTAGTCTGTCTATATATTACTATATAAGTTTTATATTAAATATTATATCTACAAGCTAATTACAGATCTTGTCTATTTAAACTCTCTGTATATGCAATTCATTTATATAAAAAAATATTTTCAAAACATAGTCTATTCAAAGTTCTTAATTCTTATTATATAAGAGCTGTATAGGAAAAACCTGTAAATAAAATTTTATTTGTTAATTCTATATTGATTTTAATTATTTGACATTAGGCATAACCAATCATTATGTATGACAAATAATCATTTATTATATAATTTAAGTAGTAAATATTTATTTGTCATTTTCTATAATTGGTTATATTTCAGTGCCAAATTATTAAGATTTGCATAGTAATTAATGAATAAAATTTTACTTATAGGTCTTTTCTATACAGCTCTCATATAGTATTCTTAAAACTATTTTATTTTTAACAGAAAACTTACTGAAATTATTTATTTTATATATAGTTAATTTAGTTTTATAAAACATACTATAGTCTAGACTAATACTTACAATTAAAGATATTTTATTAAATTACTACTATTGTTACAAAGTTACAAATTTTAACTATTTAATATATTTCAAAACATGTTTTGCAAGAATTTTATAAATATCTTTTTTTTGTTATAAATCTTTAATACTTCTATATAATATTTATATTTATTTTTATTAACACATTTAGATTTAAATAAAAATAATCTAGCAATTAATTGTTTTGTACTAATTTTTAAAAATGATCTTTTATATTTTGTATTATAGTATTCATAACATTTTAATATATCTTTAAAGTTATCTTTACAATTTTTTCTTTTTTTATATTAGGATTATATCCAAATAGTTTATATTTGTTATAAGTTTTTAAAATATACTGTATACTAAGCATTCTTTATCTATATTATTTGTAAATTCAAAATAAAGATTTGTATCAAAAAGTAACTTTAGACTAGATTCTTTTTTTGTTTTAGAATTATATGTTCTAATATATATTTGTATATTTTTTTATTTTTGCAAAACTTTAAACATGTTGTCTATTAGTTTCTAAAGCATTATAGTTAATTTCAAATTAAAATTATAATAGCCCCACAGACTAGGTCAACGGTTCAAGTCAGGCTG